GCCTCAAGTCATGCAAACCTATCGATTTGGTGTCCACGCCGTCCACCACCACCTCACCCCTGGGCTCCACCATCCGGAACAGGGCTGATATGATGGACGACTTGCCGGCACCGGTACGTCCGACTATGCCTATCTTTTCGCCACTCTTTACACTACAGCAAAGGTTCTTGAGCACCGGTTTGGTTGAGCCCTCGTATACCAGAGACATATTCCTCAGCTCTATCTCACCCTTCGATGGCCAGTCAGGTGGGGGTCGGTGTCTGTCATCTGAGTCTAACGGCGCTTCCTGTGGTAGTCTCTGGTATTCAATGATACGCTCGACTGAAGTCATGTGACTTTCAAACTCAGTCGACTGTTTGACACCACATTGGACTTCTCCCGTCATCATTAGGGCTATCATTATATAAACACTTATTGTAAGCATTTGTCTTATATTTAATAATAAACGCATTTTATGTGTATATCAATAGCACACCTGACGAGAGGGCCAATCCGGCACTACCGCCGTTCCCAATCTGGTCGGGGAATACCATCATCACTACGGCTATGACCACAATATAGGCCACACATATCCAGTCTATAATGAGACCCAGGGTACGAGATGTACAGACAAAAAGAAACCAGGTAGCAGTGTGGTCATTTTGGTAGGCATAGTACTGTCGCTCAAAGGCCTCCTGTGCCCCATAAGCCCGCACACTGACCAACCCATTCAGGGTTGTGCTCACGTGAGTAAACACTGGACTTCTTGCTATAAGATGTTATTTAATTTATTATAAATGTATATACAATTAAAACACATTACTATTAACACATACTTAGCCCTTCGAAACGTTTGATATCCCTGGCCAATTTGATGTATATGCTTCTTACAATCACCGTAAGTATGATTAAGACAATAGCAGGGATGATTAAGTAAACGTCGATAATTGCCACCGTTATTATACCACCAATCGCTTTTGTTAGTGCCTGTTATGAAACAAAAACATATCCAAAAATAATTACTTTGTATTACAATTCATTGTATTTAATTATAAATACAGTATATTTGAATTCATATTTACGAGATTTAAGTCTAAGCCAATGAAAGGAAGTTGTTCATCGACAATACCCATGTCCTTTGAAAATCTGTTCAGCATTCGGCCTGTTCAAATATAGATTATTTGCAAACAAAATTACCATCTTAATGATTTTGAAATATGATAACATTTATTTTCACAAACTTTACAAAAAAATTTAAATTATTGTAATGATTACCGATGGGGTTGTTGTCAAACACAGTTATCGGAGCCCGTAATACACGTGAGAATATACTGTTGTGTAGATTAACGGACGCCCGCATACACATCACGAACCACGTGGTCGACCGCATTAGCCCCGTCACAAATAAGGCCCCAATGAGTCCCGAATAAACGTAAACGTAATAGTTTTGTGTATCTTGATAAATTGCATCAACATCTTGATTTTTGTTAGTCCTGAATATAAACAATAAAATGGATTTTAGATTTGAGACATTCACTGTACAAGAGTAGTTTATTTCACGTATTCATTCAAATAAAATTTTCAAAAACTAAATTTTTAAATTAACCGGAAATAAGCTTATTAACTGTTAATAACTAAGCATATATAATATACATTGCTGACTTATTCTAATCAACGTGTCCAAATAAAAACAATGGCCTTTTGTAAAATAATATAACACACATACCATTTAGTTAGCCATAGATCGGAATAATGAAATATACCCTGAGATACCAGTGTTGAGAACAGGGTTATCGTGAACAGTATTGGTCCGGCACCGGCCTTCACATACTCGTAGTAGACATTCCCCCCGATAGAGCCCACCTCCCGATTCTCCTCCTGAATCTTGGGCTCTTGCGAGTAGTCCTCCTCATCGGTCATAATATCGGAGACCTCAAAGTCGTCGGTCGGAAACAAGGATATCCTCCGGGAGTACCTCCGGGCCCTGTCTTTGACCGACTCCGTCAGGAGTGTCTCATTAGGGGTTGGGGTCTGTTTCGCAATGTAACTATTCTTGGAGAACAGGGCACCGGCCCTAATGTACTTCCAGTATACCCGACCGGAAATGGAGCCCAACTTAATGTTTTGGTCTTGTATTTTAGGGTCACCCGAATACTGCCCGTCCATCACATCATCATAAAAATCGTTTAGCATTACAGGGCTTTCAGCTACCGATGCGGTTCGGGATGTGATTTTGGTGTCATAACTATTTTGTGATAGAGATCTCATGAGATCCCGTTCCTGTTGTTTTGTTGCATCCCTGTCCTGTTCGCTCAACATTGACATGAAGTCCAGGCCCCGGGACTGGAGTTCGTCGTATGAGCCCAACCCCAGGCACCGGCCCTCTGGGCTTAAGATTAGTATTTGTGTGGCTTTTCGTATGAATTGGATTTGATGTGTGACTAGAATCCGGATTTTGTCCGACAAGTACTCCACTATACATCTGATGGAAAGGCAGGTTAGAGGACTGGTAGGTGTGTCTCATATGACTGTTAATTGTATTACTTATGGAATATATGTTCGGCAACAGAGGTGTCGACAGCACTCAACGGGTCGTCCATTAGTACGATATCTGAGTTGCGATACAAAGCTCTGAAAAGAATGCAAGGTTTTAGTCAATAGGAATGTCGTATAGACTACCGGTGCCGTGATTGTCATACCTGGCCAAAGTGATCCTAGCCTTCTGACCACCCGATAGAATGACTCCTTTCTCTCCGACTAATGTCTTGTCTCCGAAGGGGAATATCTGGAGATCCCGTTCCAGAGCACAGACATTGACTATCTGTTTATACCGGTGCTCATCGTATTCACTGCCAAATAGTATGTTATTTCTGACGCTATTATTGAAACTCCAGGACTCTTGTGAGGCATAACTAATGGTGCCCACAGTTTGAATACTTCCCTCGAGCACCGGTAGCTCTTTTAATATTGTCATCAAAAATGAACTCTTTATGAAATTTTTCAAAAATATTATTTATACTAGGTATTTTTTCGTTGCAAATTCATACCTTTCCAGCCCCTACTGGTCCAATAACTGCTAACAGATTTCCAGGTTTTAAGTGAACGGATATATTCCGAAGGGTTGGATACGGACTGTCCTTTTATATGGTATGAAAAGTATTTAAATATTTATTTTAAACAAACCATTCATTCATTCATTTCATACTTCACTCCATTTGGCGCTAATATTATTGACCGACAGTTGCGGCCATTGTTTGCCATTTGAATCCAAATCTACATTTGAATCCAAATCTACATTTGTATCCAAATCTACATTTGAAGCTTTAATTGCATTCAAATCCATTTCCTCCAACTCCAGGAAAGTCTATTCGTTTAAATATTACAAAATTGTCATCATTTAACCCGGATTACATAATTAAATGAATAATTTTATTAATATATTAAATAAAAATAACTATCAGTTACTTGTATCCGGCGACACGACACCAGTAGCTCAGCACTCAGTGTAATTGCCTGTGGGAATTTCGAGGACATTGTGCGGCTCACTATATTGACCATGGTCATTGTCACGAATACGGCTTTGGCGGTCAATAGGTTCCCGGTTAATACATATGTTATAAAACACGCGAACAGTATTATACGGGAGGCCACGATATATACCGACAAATTGATAGCTTTTAGAAAGCAAGCCATTCGTAATCCATGCACCTCGCTCCTATTAATACATCACTTTATTTTATATCATGGTCATTTACTTATAATTTTTATTTAGTTGTAATTCGTAAATATTATGCATATTTACTAAAATAACATAATAATTAAAAAGATCCTTTTTTCATTATGAATTATAATTTATAATAATTAATTAAGTAATAAGAAATTATTATAACACTTATCGATAAAAGTAGTATTTATTAATTAATTAAAAATCAATATTTTTATATCTAATGTTAGAAAGCAAATTGAGGTTTATATATAGGCTAAAAATTTAAATATTTGTCATTGATTTTGAGTAAAGTATAAAGTATTTTTAGCCTATATATAAACCTCAATTTGCTTTCTAACATCAGATATGTGAGTGCTTAAAATAAGTTTTTATAATAACTAAATCTTGATATAATATGAGGACATACTTTCTAGCTGCGGCCACCAGGGCAACAAACGGCTGCTCCCAGGCATACATTTTGATGACTCGCATCCCCGATATAATCTCATTCATGAGCCGCAGTCTACTGTCCGTTAACTGAGCGGTCATTAGCCTATAATGTTAACACCGTAATTACTATATTCAATATGACCATGGGCTTTTCATTTTCATGTTTTCATTATACAGTATTATATTGAATTTCATGTTAAGTTTAAATACAAATACATTGGATAATATCGATATAAACAATAGTATTTTATCAATATGTTACCATTTTTAATTATATTTGTATAATATATGAACTTTGCATACTATGAAAACCAAATGATCATATACCAGTATATAAGCAATGTAAAATGTCGACAATCATACCTGACTTTCGAGAAAAGGGTGGCCATAAGTGTTTGAAACGGTATAAACAGCAGAAATAGGGCCATAACTACGAAGCAATAGTAACTGATCTCCGTATATATGATATATACAGCGATCGCCGTCTGTATGGGCGCTATGAATAAATAGCTCACAAACACTGAAAACTGAATTCAAAAACAAAATAATTTTCAAATCATTAATAAAATCCATTCACTACTCGCGCCACAAATATAGCGCATATACCCCATCAAATCGGTTGACATCATTGGACATTAGGTTTACAATGTGGCCCACTGTGGTTTTACCCAGGGATGCCCGGTTCAGTCTAAGCGACTAAAAATTACAAAACACATAAAAAGTGACCTGGTCCAATTACACAAAATTTTATACTTTTTTATACATGAGTGTACAGGAGGAGGCTCGTAATCTCATACCCATTTGTACGATTAGCACACTGGCCGGGTGGTATAGCGATACGAACAGGGCTGAGCACACACATACACCCGCGACGGCCAGGCATGCTTGCTCGTAAGTGCGATTTTCTACCTTGCTAAAGTAGTCTATCACTAAACCTAGTAGCAGGACCTGACCTATACGTATCACGCATTCCTAATGAGAATAAACATTATACTTTTAATTAAGGTTTTGTTTCAGTAACTTATTTTATTAAAAGTTTTTAATTCATTTAATTTCATATTTTATAATAACTCGTGACGAAGGCTACGATTAGGACCGAAAGTACTCGAGTTTTAAGATCTAATAAATACCGTTAAATCAGTACTAAGTCTAAAGAGTTATTTCATATCATATTTAACTAATTTTATTAATCAGTGAAAAGGTATCAAAAAATAATAGATTAGCCGAACGTTTTGGATCTACACTGAGATCTTAATCAGAGCTTAAGAGATGGTAACAGATATTGAAATAAAGTGTCAAATTATACTTTTCATTTAATTATTGAGTGGTTTTTAGTGATTCCGAAATAGTAGGCTTACCGCGAATGTAAACATACAAAGGGGGAGTATATAGTATTTGCCGTATGTCATGAACAATGCTCTCCAGAATTTAGGCGATTCTTTTCGGCGTTCATTATTCCAATGTCTAAATGTAGTAACAAATTAGTATACCTCTAATCAGTCCTCCCTCCCCTCCCACCCTTTGCCTCTATATTACGAGTGATTTACTTAGACTCCATGTGCCCATACATACTTTTCCAGCTCCTGGACAATACGTTGCGACTCGTCGTGTCGGGAGCACCGGAACAGGTCGTCCACATCGAGACGATTCTTACGCCAACCCGTCATAAACACCGGGAATATCCATCTGTTTGACAATAATTATCAAAAGTGAAAAAAGTTGTGAAAAATGATTGAAATGCATATTATTTACGAATTGTTATGGTGCCTGTATTATAACCAGGCAAATACTTGTTAAATTGTAACGTTTTTATATCGCGCAGAATAATTTTTGTTAAAATAAATACAGTATTTACAAATTGTTTTAACCAGGCATATGTTTTGCACTGATACATTCATAGTTTTCAGGGTTTTTGATAAGATACTGTGTTAATTAACTAAATAACCATGCATATATTCATCATTTTCTATAATTCTGGTCATTTCTAAAACTGATGATCATTTAACACTTACGTGAAAAACATTTTTTGAAAAATGTTTGCATTATCCCACCGGGACTTCCCCTTTATTTGAGCATCTTCCTCCATTTATTTATTTTAAATTTAACAAAAATATTTTTATTTTAGAATTAATAAATAAACTATTTAACAATGGATATTAATAATATTTATAATTGTCGTAAATTTAAACCAGGCTTGGTGTTGATTTTTATACAAAAGTACTCTAAATAATGAAAGTAGGAAATTGGGAATTTATTATTGTGATAACAAGTTAATATATATTCGCTGAATGAATCATTAAACTAGCTAGTAACATAAATATTAGAAACATAAAGTCTCGTATTAATCAGTACATTAGTATAAAAATTTAATTTTATATTGATTTAATAAATTATACATTCTATATAAATGATTAACTTTGTTTTATGTATTATCATGTTTATTATTAGAGGATTATAGTGTATGTAAATTAAGTTGTGTTGAGAAAAGCACTTAATTGTAATTAACCGTTAATTGTGAACACATTTGACATGTGTAATTACAATAAACCCACATAAAAATAATTTAGGCTATAAATATTCAGATAATTTTCTCGTGTTAAATAATTATATTAAAAGTAAATCTTATTATTAGCTTGATAATTATTCACTCATTAATTAAGCTTATTAGTTTTGATCATCTTTATGTGAAACATAATTATAGTTTGAAATGCTTGCATAAATAAATGCAAATCAAAAGTTTGTATAAAAGCTTATATTCTCATTGTTTGATGACATTTATTTGTACCGGTAATACAAATGTAGTATTATTTAACTCTTAACATGGATTATACAGTATAATTGATACTAATCCTTTTAAATAAATTCTTTATTATGTTTGTATAGCACTCAAAATATATGTCAAAAATAAACATTTATCAATAAATAGATTACTGCATTAACATAACATATATAAAAATATTATTTTATTCATAAATTTTGATTTCCATTCATTAAACTTTTAAAAATTCACAATGTCTTTATTTCATAAAAATATAATTCTACTTTTGAAAATAATTTTATTTTGTTCAGTAATTATGCCAGCTCATAGTGGTAATTGCGTTGAAAGTAACTACACCTTACAAAAGGGCAAACACGTGACCACATGTATGTGTTTCGACGACAGGAATCTAATTGAATGCAATTCCGACTACAATCTGAAGTTAA